GGGTAGTCTGCACACTCCCACCACCAACTTTCCATCGAGGCGTTTCGGGGGGGGGGGGGGGAGCATATAGTTTATAGTATAGCAAACTACTCTGAAAAGCATATCATCATTGTGGAATTGCTGTGTTACAAATGTTGTTCCTGTTTGAATGAAAGTGGAGACAAAGCTACTTACTTTTTTTCATAGATCTCTGTGAACTTGAAGAGGGGAAGGCAATTGGCAGGTGCATCTTGTAGAATGCTGATGATCTCTGTGCTGTATAATGAAAACGCTGACAATTACCCCCACAGTCCAAAACCAGAACATCTAGAGAAACCCAACTGAATTACACTGAACTGTACCCGAGCATGGAAAGGGATTTGTTGCTCCCACCAGTGATCAGAGACACCTGAATGCGCTTTCCTCCGATCTTATACCGGTGCAGGCCACTGACGGCGCTTATGGCCTGCTGCAGGGACAACATCTGGATTGTGGCCTTCAGCTGATAGTCCGTGTGGGGGCTGAGCTCCACAGCTTTCACCTTAGACAAAACAAGTCACAGCACAAGGAAATGTTTTGAGACCGGGGTGAATCACGTGTCAAGCAGAAAATCTGCACGCAAACGTTCCATCTCAAGCGACTTTGTCGTTGTGGACTCGGGCACGCTTGATGAACACATTCAACAGCACAATGGACCTTTTTTATCGTCCGTGAAAAAGGCCGATAACATCACTGGAGTTGGTCTTACCCGTCCGTAACGCGAGAAGGTGTCATGCAACGTTTGCTGCAGATCCTTGCGAGACATTCTGTAGTCCAGGTTGGCCACCTGGACCTCTGCCCCGTCTGAGAACGGTTCAGGTGGGCCTTCGGGACACGGGCTGCGAGCGGCAGCCAGGAGGGGTGAGGACCGGCTGGACAGGCAGGGCGATGCACTCCTTTTGTTAGAGAAGGGCAGAGACAACTTATAAATTACAATTACCATTACAATAAATACTTTGAGGGTTTGGAGACTTTGTATGCCACCACTGTAATAACCAATGCTCTCGGTTAACTTATTCAAATATGACCCAATATGTCACCTGGAGGACCAGGAACCCTGAGACAGGACGAGGGGACTGAAGCTCCTGTGCAGGTTCAACTTGCTGAAGGCTGAGGGTGTGCTAATCTGGAACTCTCCTGTGCTCCTGTCCACGTGTTCTGCAGGGGATTCAGTCACACTACGAGGGTAGGAGCCCTCTCTTCTGCATGGAAAGATTAGAAAAAGGACAGCCGCATGTGTGAGAGCCCCATCCTTCACTGTCCGGGGCTTCTAAATGCTCTCTTTTCTATTGAGACAACGTTTAATAGGATTGTATCCTTTTTCTATAATAAAAATAAGTTTGTACTTGGCTGGAAAATAAAAACATACCGCCTCCATGAGCAGATATTTTGGGTTAAAGCTCGTAGTTGCACATCTCAGATAAAAATTATCAAAGGAATTTTCATCTCAGTCTAGTGTACCTCCTCCTGTACATGGATTCTCCAGAGAGGCCCGGCTTGGACAGCTGCTCCATGGCTCCCGTCTCACCATTACTGTGTGGGGAAGAGGAAGCAGCACGTCCTTTCTCCAGGTGGTTGAAGCTCATTCTGGCCTTGCCCTCCAAACTACCCAACTCCTAGACCAGACAGAGGCAGCAGATGTCAATACTGTAGCTGTGGACTGGCTGGAGACTGTTGATGCGCGTGTGCGCGTGTGTGTGCATGTGTCAGGCTCAATGGAAAAAGTCAGGGAATGGCATAGACTGGTATTCGGAAGTTTAACTAGGGAAGTGCATATAAAATCAACTGGCTGACTAGAAAACAGCTGTAATAAACACCATAAATATTGGAGTTTTACCATCGACAGATTACGATTGTCAATTGTCATCATTTTGTAGTTGACACGTACTTTCGGACACATTTATAGGTAAGCCGATGATATAGTCGTGCGTTTTAACTATAAATGTTTAGGTTATGCAGTATTCCCATTGTGCAGGTTAAATATTTTTAGTGTTTTAATGATATTTCTATTTAGGTGCTGAATGAGATTCATTTTGGACAAACTATAAATTTAAATTTCTCTTTACTGTCCAACTACAGACAAATCTTAAAGTGCCCATCCCTAGTTTTAGTCCATCTACACAGTAATCAATGTATGGGTCACTTCTGTCCAGTCTTCCACACCGGTCAGATGGTTACAGTCAAGAAAAAGACATGCAAAGCCAGTCATACCGGCCACCCGAGATCAGTTTTATCAAAGAGAAAAAACCACGGGGGCCAAAGCAAAGGAACACAGGCATGGAGCAGGTTACTGACAGAAAGCAGAACATCAGCACCGATATACTGGACAAAACCGTCAGAAAGGCACAAACGCTAGAGGCGGATTCATGCACTAATATGATGAATGACCAATAAAAATGCAGGACAACAGGTGATACATGAAGCGCTAATGACAAACTAATGGATGCTAGCACAGGCAGACAAATGAAGCTTAGCGAGCAGCTAGAGGCGGTTAGTCAAAGCAGCAGTTAGAGGGACACTGGCCTGCAGACAAGGATGGAGGGCAAAGGAGGTAATGGGGAAGCAGGCACCGACGAGTCTGCTGACCTGATGGGGCTTGGTTGGAGCACCACCGGGAGGCCCACTGCACCCCCTCCTGGGGCTGTAGGGCCTTTCAGGCACCGGGCCAGGGGCATGGCACGGGCGGGTTGCTCGCCGTGGCCTCCTGGGTGACCTCGGCATCCCCAGGGGCAGAAAGGAGGAGGAGGATGGGGACGGGGGCGGGTCGAACATTAAATCCTGGTTTTGATAGGTCTGGGGCAGAGTCAAGTGATGGGGCCGAGACTCGGGCTCAGGACTTGCATCGTCTCTGGGCCGCGGGGAGAAGGAGATGCTGATTCGGCGGCCGAATACATCCTCATTTTCCATTCGCTTGCGGGCACGGGCAGCTGCCTCAATGCTGCCAAAGCGGAGGACCGCTGTGCCCTGGGCCACGCCCAGCACCTTGCCACCACAGTTGTCTGATAGGCGGCGTAGCCTGAGCTTCACAGCGTTCCGTAGGCTCTTGTCACAGTTGTCAGGGAGGTTGTGCACATAGAGGAGGTTGAAACTGGGCTGAGGGAGGGGAGGAAGAGACAGCGTGCCCGTCTGGTTTGTAGGATTTACACTTAAAAATCAAAGCAGTAGTCTTCCTTTTAGTTGAAAAACAAGTTGAAGAATTGCTCAGAGTAATATAGATCATGAAAAATTGTAATGACCCCTAAAAGAAAAATTGGGGTGAGTAAATAATTGGGAAGATGATGAAATTCACATTCCAACTGCCTTTCTGCCCTCTTGGTAAGTCCACACTGAAATCAAATTCTTCTTGGTTATGTTTACCAGCAACTACTTACCTTATTTAACCCAAAGTAGATCTGAAACAGAAAAAAGTTCAGTCCTAACGAAGCATTTGTGAGGCTTACCTGTGCTTTGACAAGCATGCGCGGTGGCAGATCAGCTGTGATCTCCTGGAAGGCCACGTGGCGGTGGGCATGCTGCAGGAGGGCTGAAGACGTGTGGCTGCCATGGACCAGGATCACCTGGAAGCCGTGGCGGTGACGCAAGTCACTCAGCTCGCTGGCAAAGTTCACGTCCGCTAATAAAAAAAAAAAAAAAAAAAAAAAAAATGAAAATATAACGCGCCTTGTTACAAGAACCCTCGTGGCGGTCGAGGCTGTAGTTGATCAGTGAATCGGAGCTGAAACTCACAGGATACGAGGACAACGGTAGCGGGTGCAGTGTGGGTCTCAGCAAAGCGTCGGAGGCTCTGGCGAAGCTTGTCATCTGCAGCATTCTTGGCGGTGGCGTTGATATGTGCAACAGTAACCTGATGGAACAAATTCATGCATTTAGCTGTTTTTTGGGGGGAAATTACTGGACATGTTTGTGTCATTTTATGGAGGTCAATGTCTGACGTGGGAATAACTTTATCAAATAGGTGGTTTCATAGTGTTTATTTTTATGAATGCTCCAAATGCAGTATTCAATTTGGCAAAGAATAGTGCAAAGATGCCTCATGTCAGCTGAGGTGCACTGCTTTTCTCTATGCAGCTGCAACACTCTCTCCTCATTGAGAACAAATGACAAAAAGACATTAGCGCGCACAAAGAAACACTGAATGAGCTCTAACTTAAGGCAACATGATGGCATGAAGCACAACCAACTCTGCCCATCTTAAACTGTAGCTCAATGGTATTCATTCAGGGTGTAAATGTCCCTCATTAACAGCGTAGTCGTGAAAAGCACGCAACATGCTCTTTGCTGGTACCTGGCAGTTGTTAAGCTCTTGGATGACGGCTTTACTCTCCTTGCTGATATCACAGACGCAGATGAATTCTGCCTCACGGTGGCCCTGAAAGAAATGGCTGCGAATACGCTGGACCACAGCGCCGGCAGAGCGTCCGCTCGGCACGCTGCAGTTCTCGATGTCCCAGAAGACGCCCACCGGAGGGATGTTTTCAGGGCCGCTGTTCTCTGGAGAACCTAACACACAGTTTGCAGACAATCATTCTAAAAACACACTTAACAGCTTGAAATTAATCAAGACTCCACAAGACCAACAGTAAACATGCAGGAATTCAAAATTGTATAGTAAAGAGTCCACTAACCATACTTCTGGCCAGTCTTGCCATGATTGGCCGATGGCATGAGCATCATGGCATCAGACGAGGTGCCACAGCCATTACAAATGGGAATAGGGATAGGAGCAGTGTGGGGAAGAGGTGCATTGGGCCATACCTTTTCAGAGTCTGACACCAGACCATTTATGGGCTGCAATTAGGTACAAATCAGTACAACAGTCAGAGAAAATAAATACAAATAAATAACACTAACATCAAGCAATACCATCCTAAATGCATATTACAACACCACATACACAATGCCGGTCTCACATGGCGAAGTCATCCAACTTGTATAGAATAAATCTACGTACAGTGATCTCTAGGCTACACAAAAACAAAAGAGAGGCCACAGTTATTGAAGTGAACTCTACCAACCTTCAACAGGCACTCCTGGCAGTAGTGTGCCCCCTTCACACAAACTGTGCGTTCTACATTTAGGTGCATAGGATTAGAGCAGAAGTGTGCCGAGGTGGTTGTAGTGGTGATGGTCGGGTGATCACCGAGTGTGGTTCTCTGGGATCTCCTGGCTGATGGGCAGCAGTCCACACCACAGGGGTAGTAGCCAGAAGAGGCCAGGCAAGAGCCATGCAAGGGAGTGGGTAGAGCAGAAACACAGGGGAGAGAGGAAGCCAGGGGTGCCGAGGAGCGAAACAGGCTGGGTGGACTGCATGTTAGAGGTACAGCTGGGTACGTGTGGAGAAGCCCTGAGCAGCAGGAGAGGTAGGGTTGTGATGAAACAGGCTGAGAGGTGGCGACAGAAGAGGACAGCGGAGGTTTGTAACCAAGAGTGGGCAAAGAATCCAGAACTTCACCTCCGCTTCTGCAGCTAATGTGTTTATAGTGATGAACAGACGACGCTACAGAGCAAAGGCCTGACCTGCCGATACTGCTGGTGCTGATGGGTGCTCCTAGAGAGCCTGGAGCCATATAGAGCGAAACAACACCAGCAATGCTGCTGCTGGTGCCAACAACACTCCCACCACCTGATAACCCATAGCCATCTGTGCTGCAATAGTCACAGTGCGTGTAAATGCTTACTTTAGGGCTAGCCCCCTCTTGTTGCAGCTGTGACTGGGGCGGTTGCTGGTGCGAGTCTTGTGTAAGCAGAGGAGGAGGAGGCAAGCAGGGAGGAGGCATAGCGAGGGGGGCCAGAGAGAAGGGCTGGGATGATTGGGAAGAGGACGTATGGTGTGGAGGAGGAGGGACATCTTTCAGTTCCAGCACGGCCTTTCTGCTATCCATGTACGTGCTCTGTAACATAAAATGACCAGCAGATTATTTCAATTTAAGTTTATTGTTATTATTATTATTATTATCATCATCACCTGCAAATATTTTCTGCAAAAGGCAGACATTTCATCTAAATAACCTGAATGGGTGTGCAATGGTATTAGCAGCACCCTCAAAGCACAAGACAACTGCGGCAACGATATATAACAACTTCACGTGGCTTGTCGTGGCCAACTTCGAATAGAAAAAAGAAAAGGTACTGTGCCATCTCTGCCAACACTTACATGCTGAATTTAAAGTATACCCCAGCATCTCCAAATCTGCCGTTTGTTTATCAGCTGATAGAGACACAATGTCATGCCTGCGGCTGTTATTATGCATGCGACAAGAGCACCATTTTTAAAGGACTCCCTGCTTTCAGCGTAAAATTTAATTTTTTTAAATTCCTGTAAAATGCAAGTTGCTGCGTTTCAATTTGTCACTGGTTGAGTTGACACAAGGTTGATTGCAATTCATGTTAAGGTAACAGATGATAAATATGAAATAAAAGATTCCACCAGATTGTTGCCGAGAACCGTATCTCTGATGAACAACAATCATTCTCCTGAATGATCGTTCTTTTAATTCAGAGTTCACAATACAGATTGATTAAAGTTCCTCCACACGTCTGTGTTTTACTAAGGCCTACGCCTCTGAATACCTGGACTGTAAACAGATAAATACTTACTTCTTTGTCCGCGTGATGAGCCGAGGTTGTCTCATTGGTGGGGAAGCAGTCTTTGAGTTTCCATAGCAGGGTTGAGGCCTCCGGTTTGGGGTGACTGAGCCATGGGAAGGGTCTAGAGCTGCATATGGATCTCTCCTTTCCCAGTCCTTCCATTACACAACCCAGAGAGGTCTGTCACCATACTTTCACCTCTCTTCTCTCTCATGCTTTCCTGTAGAGAGGAAACGAAAGTTAAGAGTACACACTAGCTGGTAGCTGCATAAGTAACGTTAAAGTCACAGAGAAGTCAAGTGAGACACTAAAACCTCACCGACTCCTCTAGAAAGCACAGGTCTGGTCATGCAGGTGCGTTTGACTCAGCACAGCTTCGTACCGAATGTTTAAATCAACAAAGGGGGGCACGTCATTATGTAGGACATTCACAGAGTTAGCGAGTTTGGACTGCTTAACTTGTCTGAATTAACGCTACAGTACCGTTTCACCAAAGCGAATCAAGTGAAGCAACCGACGTTAATGTTAAATTAGCTACACGCTAGCTCACGTTCCCGTTTTTCCGAGTGTCGTAACCGTTGTTTACAGCGGAAGTAACGTAAGCTAGTTAACTAGCTAGCCCGACCGCTAACTTAGCTGGAATGAGCTAGCGATAATTTACGTAAACGTTATTTGTTTTCCTGGAGCTAGCGTTAGATTTAAGCTAACAACAGACACCGTTTGTTAGCTTGTTTAACAGACACCTAGCAGCAACCCCCGCGTGCTACCGTTCATTACCTTTACGGTAAACATTAATGGCTAGAAGTGTCCTAAAAAGTTTGTGACTCGGATACCTGGGAAGGGCTCGTCTTTCACATCATCATCCTCCTCCAAGGGCTGTTGTTCCTCCTATCTAGCGCTCAAGAAATCCCGCACCTTTTTGTAACCTACTTTTGCCAGAAAGCACGCACAGCTGTCGCAAATGTTATTGTTATGCCTGGCACGCGGCTGATATATATTTGCAATAAGATATTATATATTCTTTCACATTTAGCCCTAGTTCCGATGGAAATAAATCAAATCAACTAAAAATCTTGAAATGCTATTTTTTTGGGTCAATATATTTGGTGTATTGAATTAACATTTGAAATTAACATTACAAAATGTGATAGAAAATCATGCATTTTATCACTGATATAGCTATGATAATATTTTCGTTTGGCCTATGCCTATGGCATATGTCCCTAGGAAGGTGATTTTAGACTTTTCCCGTTATTTATACTGAATGAGGTTTGATCTATTCCATTGGATGTCATCATTTTTTGCATTTATTGGCTCGTGGTTGTAAAAAGTAGCAGTCCCTTAAGGTTATAACCTTGCTCTATTTCTTGGGATTGGATAAATGCCTTCCAGAGAAAGTACATTTACTCAAGTAAATACAGTCGTGACTATTTCCATTTACGTGTATTTCAGAGATTTTATTTCTTCTGTTTTTTTTTTTTGGACTGAACTACATTGATTTTCATTACTAGTATACTTTACAAAACGCATGCAATAACATAGTTTGACCATCTTAAAATATAGTTTTAGATTAAACCAACCATCAATATAATAATCCAGTAATGTAATGTATAATGAATTGAGCCATTACGCATGATTAAAATGACCCGAAGAGGCTATCATGTTATTCTTTGTCACTGAAGCGCCAGTGTGCCACCATGTACATGATCTATCAGGCGTTACGTTGCATCGGTAGTGCCCTCTAGCGGCGGGCAGCCAGCCAGTTCCTCCCCGTTGTGCCGTTATGATGTCTGGGCCACAGTAACGGGACAGCAGGTTCAACCATCAGTCCCAGTTGGGAATGGAGATGGTTAAACAATAACGGCTCAGTTTTTTATGCATTACGTATCTTCCTACTCTTCTTTTTTTGTATTAATTGAAACCTCAGACGCAGTTCGCTTTGGGCTAATTGAAAAGAGACTCGACTCTTCCGTCAATTAGACAACACCGGCTTTTTGTTCTCATCCGTCATGGCGATTGCCCACGTAGCCACCGAGTACGTGTTTAACGATTTTTTGTTGAAGGACCCCACCGAGGCCAAGTACAAAGGGGTGCGTCTGGAGCTGGCGGTGGACAAAATAGTGACGTTTCTGGCGGTGGGACTGCCTTTGTTTCTCATCTCGCTCGCTTTTGCTCAAGAGGTGTCAGTTGGTGAGTTGTTGAAATTGTGAGCATCCTGTCAGGAGCAACCATCGTCTTCATCTGAGGTTATAATCCTGTCAATTTCCTCACATAGAATAATGCACAGTCTATCCAATCGATGGGGATCCTGACTTCTTTGTCCCTCGCCCGCTGCCGAATGCTGTAGCACGTGTATTCCAAGCAACCAAACTTAAAGGCAGTGGCGGGTAAAGCAATGTGTTATGCATGAATGGAGGAGTTATATTCAGTAAATGGCCAGAAAAGGAGAGGTGTGAATGTTGGAGAAGGTGTGGTTTAAGTCTCCACCCTTCTGTTTACACAGACAGAGAGGCAGTCTGCTGCTGATGATGATGATGATGGTGATGATGATGATGATGGTGGGCACTTTGGGCATGGCAGTTTATAAACTGGTGCCTTAGACTTGAGTAAGGAAGAGAATAGCTCACACAAATTAACAAAAGGTGATCTGCATTCCTTGTAAAACCTAAAATATATA